TCCAAAGCATTATTTAAGGACTTGCTGGATATTGCAGAGGCTATAGATTTACTTTTTCATTAAATTCTGAGAGCGTACAAGGTTTTAGATTTTTAATTAAGCATTTTTTTCTCTCTGAAGTGCCAATTAAACATTCAAATAGTCACTAATAAATGTCCAACAATCTGCTTTATGGATTTTGAGAAGGCCAGACTTACTTTTCAAACACGGTGCACAATAACTATGTCATTTCAGAATGAGTAAAGAGAAGAAAGAAAAAAAAAATTCCTAACCAATACGACTGCCCTCTGCAACAGCCCTGGAGAAGAAGCAGTTCAACTTGCTCGGAGGACTGGTTTAAGCTACACCAACAGAAAAGCTATTTCCCTGGTATAATCTCCATCTCCTCTCAGGGGTTTGCTGGAACCGCTCCGCACTAAAGCTCTGTTGACAAACCCTTTTAATTATAGCCATGGCCTAAATCCCTGTCACATCTCACTCGCTCAGCTTTCACTCTCTTGGCTTTTGAAATGCCCTCATTTTGCTAGTTCCCCATCCAGGAGCATCACGTCAAAGCCAGGTAGGAATTACATTTTCAGGGACAATAAAAAATGGACATTAAAAAATATTTCACAGATTTCTGGACAGTAAATTACGAAGCAAAGAGGATATAAGCCCAATTTTATTCCCACTATGTAGGTCACCTTTAATAGGATTCCTGAATTTCCTACTGTTGTACTGTTGTTTTGGTTTAATTTACAGAAACTGAGCAAAAGATTAAGTCTTTTACAGCTTCTTATTCAGTCCTGTCTATTTTGCAATCTCAAAGTAATCAAAGAAACAGGAAACTAGAAATCAGCTAACCCGTTCAGGTTTTCTTAACATACACAACTACATGCTACATTTGGAGAAGAAAGAACAGAGACAACAGTATTAAAAATTCTTATTATCCGAAGTATTTGCAGGGAAGAAAAGCGTTTCAGGCAAATGTGTTGCAGTATATCCTGTTCTCTGTCTCGTTGAAGAGATCGAATAGCAACATTTGGGCACAGGGACCCAACGGCTCTTTCTCCTGCCCCGTTCTGACGCGGCTTGCCGTGTCAGACCTGCCTAAGACCTGCCGTCTCCCCGGGCGTCGGGAAGGGCGCGAGGCTGAGAGCAAGGGAAACCGCAGGTCCACGGAGGTGGGCTGTAAAACACAACCTGCCGCTCCAGCAGGCTTGGGGAGGAGAGGTTTCACTGCGGGAGCACTTCTCAGGAAAGCACGCTCCTCGGTGAGGAGGTGGCTTAGCACGCACTGTCACTGCCTCTCATTTTTCATGGGATGAGTGAGATCTCTTCAGGGCATCCAGGCAGGCCCAATTTTTTTCAAGAAGCCAGCAGCAGACATTTCATATAGCATCCACGGAAAGGCAGAACTAGCCACTAAATGCAACGCAGATTGAAACGACCTTGTTCAGCAATACAAGCGAATCCACAAGCACAACTAAGTGATGCCAGGTGTTTGGGAAGAACAAGCGCTCCAGGCATATTTGTATTACTCTTTTGTGAAAAGCATCCTCTAGAGATGGCTTCAGTAAAAGCAATATTTCATCTAATGCATGCAGTACAGCCTGGGGTTCACGGACTGCAGACCATCCAGCTACGCAGCA